GAGCCAGTAATTAAAATAATTTTGCCCATCGAATTAACGATACATTTTAGTACGATACGCCGATGATAATCTGTTAAGCTTTTGGATTCTAGGCGACAGTTTGGTCCCCAGGCACAGGATGACACAAAGCATAAGTTTAAGGTTAACGCCATATGAATATTCAAGGGTGAACTAATGTTAAACCCCACTGATCTACAATCACAGAATCCTTCAAGAAAAAGCTACGGATTCCGCCCTTATTCTCCTTCTGACGAATATATGAGGGGAAGAATGCAGCCATCTGTAAATCGCCAGATTAAATAGCACGTACTACGTTTCTACCAATCAAGCACAAGTAGGAATGATTTTGTGCAAGTTTTCTATAATATATACTCGAACTTAGAAAGGCACTCGGATAATGCATACTACTTAAGTAGCCATTTTTACAGAGTGTGCCTTTTACAGGCGGTCACGAAGAAGATTATTAAAACGCCAGCATCCTGCTGTGATTTAACTATACCGAGTTAAACCTGCATGTTTATTCTTATCACAATCCTAGGTGGCCAAACTTTCTTGTGGGGTCGCCAAAATATCGATTCCTCCCGCCCAACTGCCATACGTAATTTGTGCTCAAGTATCTAAATCTTGGCTAGCGAGTCTAAATGAACATTTAATTGTGTTGGAAGTGACCAAAATATTAAATTAAATGAATTATAAAATTGGCATCCCAAGAAATATAAGGAACTCCTTCCACCAAATTTGTTTCAGTGTACTTAATAGAATGAAATCCATCAACATAAACTCCTGTTGCTCGCGCAACTGATACCTATTGATGGAAATTCAAACTTATCTTGGCGGAATTTAACGAAAAAAAGAGACGTTGATCTTATATTGGCGGAATTTAACGAAAAAGGGAAAGTAGGTAATTGTTATAAGTGAAAGGCAAACAGGACCTCTAAAGACAGTTCTACCGCCTACTTAGATAACTAGTTCGAATCGAAAAGAAATTTCAAACTTTCGGATTACATTTTATGAGATAGAATACCCACTGTAGCAAGGTTAAATAGCAAGAAGGGACGTTGTTTGGTCCCATGCCTACTTTCACCCTCGTTGGATGGACGCGATACTCATGCACGTTTTCTTTCCATTTACAGTTTACCTTGCCATGGAAAGGGCAGCAGTAATGTCCGGACGCCTTCCACGAATAGGATGTGAGGCTGAGGATTCCTGTGGAGCTGATTGACAATCACACTCACTGTTTTCA